CTTCTTTTCTTTCTTCTTCTCTTCCTTCCTCTCTTTCTTTCCTTCTTTCCTTCTTTCCTTTCTTCCTTCTTTTCTTTCTTCTTCTCTTCCTTCCTCTCTTTCTTTCTTTATTCGAAATTTATTCGCCCTTATAAACCCACCACCGTCACCCATCGCCCGGAAATTTCAGCTTGTCCAACGTCATCCCCCCCCAATCGGCCGCGTCGACATCGCCGAAATCAATCGTGCCCGGTTACCTCCCCTACCTGACCAACCACCACGTGGACATCTTCCTCTCGGCCCTGGATCTGTCCTACGCGACCGCGCTCAAGTTCGACTGCCGCCCCGGCTTGAAGTTCTTGGTCCAGAAGGTGGCCAACCTGCCCCAACCGGCGAATCTCTACCGTCAAGCGGGGGTCGCGTGGACCATCAAAATCGTCACCCTGTTCGAGCTGTGCCTGCACGAGATAGAGGAGGCAAGGGCGAGCTTGGAGACCGTGAAGACGATCCTCACCGTGGCCTCGAGCCCTTCCGAGGGCAACGAGCAGGGGGAGGGGCCGTCCTTCAAAAAGGACCCCACCCTGCGCAAACTGTCCAAACACCTGAGACAATTGAGGACCACGTTCCAAGAGCTTTGCGAGAGCTACGTGGAGATTGTGCTGGACGAGGACGGGAGGCACACCAAGGTGGACAGTTTCTCCGAGAGGAAGATATTCTTGCTCGTCGCGCAACCGGACGATTTTCCAGAGATCACCGGCAAGGAGCCCATCTCGACCGACAACCGAGTTCTCCCCACCCCTGCCCCCGTCCAATTCCTCCCTTCGGACGAAGATCTCCAAGGAAAGAGCCGAAGGATCGAGGAGAAGAATCGAGGCAACGACGACGACGACGACGACGACGAGAAGGAAAAGGAGGAGGACGAGGAGGAGGAGGAGGAGGAAGAGGAGCAAGAGGAGGACATCGAGAACTACAACCCGAATCTGGACGACGAGAGCGGGTTGGAGGAGCTTGGGCCGGAATGCGAGGACGATCCAAGACCGTTCAGATTGTCCGATCTGGCCGTCGAGTATTCGACCGATTCCGGTCCCCAATCCGAGCCCGAAACCGACGACTCGAGGCCCCTCTCCAGATTAGGCTCGGTGACGGAGAAGGCAGTGGCGTACCCGGACAGATCCGGGGGAACCTCGAGCGAGGGTTACATAGACGGGAAGTACGACTCGGCGACACCCGCCTCCCTGCGACTGATCAACCCTCGGGACAATCTGTACTACAAGCTCGGTGGACCGGTGTTGAGGAGGGCCGAATCGGCCGATTCTTTCGGCGACACGTCCGTGTTGGAATTGAAGGCGACGAACGGCGGTGGCGTAACGTACGACGAGGTGGACGCTTACGGCAGGTCGAGGTTGGAGAGGAGGAGGAGCGACGCTTGCCTGTTGGCGGGGAAGGGGTCGTTGAGATTCCTGGAGCCGATCGGAAGCGGCGAGATCGAAAGCGAAACGGGGAGGGCGGCCCGTTTCGGGTCGAGGAACGCGACGACGCGGTGCAGATCGGTGATGGAGTTGAGGAAGAGCGAGGAGAACGGATCAACGGTCTCGGGATCGTCGTCCAACGCAGATCTCGACCTGTCCCCGAGAATCCCCCCCTCGAGGATCGTGCTCGGGGGCAGGGAGGGAGGGGAGGACGACTTGCCCAAGATCTTCGACAACATAGACGAGCTGTTGCGCGATTACGAGAGGAGCAAACGAGGGTTCAGGACGAATCCGTTTTTGCGAAAGAGCGAGGACGAGGCATGCCTCGAGAGCGAAGAAACGGCAAATTGCACGGCGGACGGGTCATCGTCCACGGCGGCGTTCCACAGGAGGAGCAACGTGTTCAAAGATAGCGAGGCGCACAGGGGCGCATGGGCCGAGATGCTGAGCACCGTGCTGGATTGGACCCTTGCCTTGTCCGTAAGTCCTCGCGTATTGTTATCTTTTCCGGAGGATCGAAAAAAATCTTTATCCTCCGTCTTTATCCACCCGAAAGCGTGGCCCATGTAAAAGGAAAATATATTTTTCACAGGACGAGCAACTGGTCCCGCTGCTTCCCGTTTTCGTGAGCGGGGTCAGAGTGCTCACCCGTTACGCGGTCGACCAGGTTCTGAAGCAACGATTGTCCACCCTTTTCCATCGAATCGCCGTGCTCTACGGATTGACGAGCAATTAGGAACAGCTTCGATACATCTGGGAACGGATGTATTTTCACGACACTTTATGAAAAGAAAAAAAAAAAAAGAAAAAGAAAAGAAAAAGAAAACTGTTCTCATAAGTGGTAATCGAACAGAGAGAGAGAGAGAGAGAGAGAGAGAAAACGTGTGAAATATACGCACGTATAAGAAATGGAAAGAAGCTCGTACGTGTCGATTAACTCGTTCGAATAGAGAATAATCGGTTTCGATACGCACGTATTTTCTTAGTAGATATTTTCCAAATCTTCACGACGAAGGAAGAAAATCGATAGACCGACGATCCGCGGAATCGATCTACGAGATTAAGATCGATGATCTCGAAACGTTCTTTTCTTTTTCTTTTTCTTTTCTTTCGAGAAGAATCGTTGAATGATTTTAATCGCATCTATCCTACGAAACCATCGTACTCTTTACCAAAGAAACTATCCACGATTGTCGAACAATTTGAACGAAAATTGGAGAGATATTACGGAGGGAAGAAATTGCGAAACGCTTTCCTCGTCCTATTCCATTCTTTCTCGGGAGGATTAAAAAGAAAAAAAACGATGAGTGAGGGATCTGGTCGAGATCAGCAATTTTCAAATTCAGGAATCAGGAGTGCACGAGTGCGAGAGAGAGAGGACTCGTTCAACTCGTCGTGGAGAAAAAGGAGCCCACTTCGAAGTTCGAAGCCTCGCCTATCTCTAGTTTGTCGCGCCCTCAGACCCGTCGACACGGAGAGACAAGGATTTTATTTACGATCCACACTCTGCACGCACGCATCTTCTCGATTCTCATTTTATGCTCTTCGCGCTTAACTGTAGTTTGCGGTCCAGAGTCGGATGGGTTTGCTTCCATCGGTCGGAACAACGCGCGAGTCGCGACCAGCGTTCGATACGTTCCGCCGCGTATAAAGATGCGCATGCCTCGAGATTTTCGACCGTATTTTATCATCGTCCTTTTCTTAGTTTCTCTAATTACGATTTTTCTCGCCTCGACGACCCAAGGAAGTCCTAAGTCTAAGAACTTAGTGGAAGAGCGAAGCACGACGAAGGGGAAGAAGAGGAAGAATCATCTTCCGGATTTATCTCGTATTTTAAATCGTTCTCTCCGATTCCCTCGAGGATCGAGTCGTTAAAGAATGTTGCACGCAGGAATGTGTTAATGCAGAAGGTGAGAAGAAATTAATAAATAGAGACAAGAGTCGAAAGATTCGTCAAAATCGGCGAAATAGAGGAAATAATTTGGATAAGAAAGAGAAAAAGAAAAGGTTCGTTCTTCGACGAAGAGCGATTTTTGACAAACGAACGAGGGAAAAAAAACGAACACGACGTTATATTTTACTGTAAATAGTACGTACGTCTTGCGCCACGTCCATTGTCGACGCGATTAAACGAGGCTAGATAGACTTTTATCGTTTGATTTCTATCGTTTCCCCTCCCCCCATGTTTAGCCGACGACTAGCAAGTGATTTCTTTTTTTCATTTAGTTTCGTTTTTCGCTTCGATAAATATATATATATATATATATATTACACGTATATTTTGTATATCGTTTGTAAGTAGAAGGAGACGAAAGGGGAATAATGATTATCGACTGTTTGTATAAAATCGGTCCAATTTTCAAATTTCGTCCTAAGATTCGATCGGTGTTGTAAGTAATCGTTGAGCAAATCGGATCGTTTAAACGAAAAAAAAAAAAAAAAAAAAAAAAAAAAGAAAGAAAGAAAGAAAGAAAGAAAGAAAAAAAAAAAGTGCGGAGAGTTACCAATCGATAATAAAACGTGCCTACGTAGACCCTTCTCCTGTCTTCTTTCGTTCTTCTTCGTTCTCTTTTCTTTTATTCTTTTCTTTCAAAGCAACACAAAAAAAAAAATAATAATAAAAGTTAAAAAAAAAAAAAAAAAAAAAATTCATCCATTCAACCGAAAATATAAATCTGTAAACGAAAATGTATGGACAGTACACGATATATGGTAATAATAAGGTATTTTTAATCGAAATCAGCGTAAACTCGAGCACGATAGACAAGTAAAAGAGTATGTATGAGCGTGATTTATTACGTTCGATTATTTCGAGTTAATAAAATTGTATTACAATTGAAACGTACGTTTTTATGGAGAGACGAGGGAGAACCATTCCCTTAAAATTCAAATATTCTCCTCGAATTTCTCTTCGCCTCTCCTCCTCCTATACGAAATACGTATATGAATCGAAATTTATCTTTTATCCTTTCCCAATTCACTCGACCAATTCTCGAACGAGGAATCCCGAAAGGGGGTTTCTTTGGGAAGAATGGAGGGAGGACGAAGCGTCGTCGGCTTCGAGTCCGTCCCTCGATCAACTCGGAGAGGTATCAAACGTGTGGACGATGTGCTGCACGGGACCAAGCGCATTTCAGTTCTTACGTTTTAACGGGCTTTGGAAAGGGCGGGAGAGTCTTGTCTGCGGTCGAGTCATCCTCGTAAAGAGGGAAGCTTACGAGCGACGGTCGCCTCGGCTTATTCCATGCTTTTATTCCCGTCCCATTCCAACAGGCAGTAAACATCAGCGAGGAGGAAGCGGAGACAAGTCGCTGGAAAGCGTGCAGCCTCTGACAGAGGATGACGAACGCAGGAAGAACTGCGTTCGTGTGTCCCTTTCGTCCATCCGTGGATTCTCTTCTCTCTCTCTCTCTCTCTCTCTTTTTACTCCTGTCTCCTCTGCGGCAAAAAAAAAAGAAGAAGAGAGAAAGAAAAAAAGAATACTGCGCTCGCTGCAAACTCTCTTCGGTTTAAACCGATGTTTAGTTACGAGAGGAAAATTGCTTTCAAATCCGATCGTCTATAATTCCAATTCTTCCACTATTCGAACACTTTCTCGAACGAATGATTATTCTCGATGATGGTTTCTAAAAATCTTGATAACTCGCGCGATACTCTTGCTTGCGCAAGAGGGAAAAACAACGATTCGAGGTACAAAGATTTTCGCTTTGTTTCGTAGGGGGAGGATAGCAAAAACATGGGCGACGAAGCTGGATGGAAAATAAAGGGGGGGAGAGAGAGAGAGAGAGAGAGAGAGAGAGAAGGGCGAAAACGCGGGTCGATGTAGACCGCAACTATCCATTCGTTCGTCATTTCCAGCATCGCTTTAAATATTAAATAGAGCTCGCGGCAACCGTAAAAAAGGATTATCCGTGCCCTCCCTCCGTGTTCTCCCCGCGGGAGAAAAAGAGACAACCACCGCTGCCTTGTTTTTCCCTTCCCTTCGGATAAGATTCCACCTCGAATCGGAACGGAAAAGTCTCAAACCCCTTTTCGTCCGATTTTTCGCTCGCTAACGAACGAAATATCGGGAAACATTGAACAACGCAGAAGCAAGAACGAAGCAACCTTTGCCTTATCGTGACATCCGATGAACTAAAGGGGGAGAGGATTCAGGAACCTGTTCAAGCAAGATTTTATTTCATGGAAAATATCTGTATTTACAATGTTACATGACTATCTTCCCACTCGGAGGATACACCGTGGATACGGAACACTGAAATCGTTCACTTTTCCCGAATCGGTGCAAGAGCCGTCCTCTCCACCAGGAGATTCCCAATCGTAACACTCGCGTACCAAGAAGAAGAAGAAAAAGAAAAAGAAAAAGAAGAAGGAGAAGAAGACCACTACAATCCATCCGAAACCAAGTTTCGTAAAACCAAGTTTCTTCCTCGATATCACATTTACAACGCGGTTCCGCCCTTGGTCCAAAACTCGCACTGGCAAAGTGAGAAAGCGGCGGTGTTTCCACGCCACGGTGGAAGCGAGGTGAGCTCAGTAAGGTCTCCAAACGTCGTTCCTCTGCTCGTTCTCCTCGCCCATCACGCCGATCTCCAGCCTGTTGCTGCTTATGGTCAGATTGCTACCGGCAATGGTCACCTGCTCCTCGCTCAGGTCCCCGTGCAGGTGCAGGTGGATCTGGTTCTGGTTCACCGTGCTGTACAACTGGGGGTAGAGGACCATGGGGGCAGGGCTGATGTAGTTCTGGCTTGGATTGTTGTAGTAGCCCTGGTAATTCGGGTTGTAGTTGTGCGAGGCGACGGGGACAGGCGTAGCCGGGCCCGAGGTCCAGGAACCGTAGTGGTAGCTCCCCGGGCTTCCGCTCCCTGTCCCGCCCCCCGCGAAGATGTCAGGGTCGCTCGACTTCGCGGGAACCAAGGGCAACGAGGTCGACGAGGCGCCGTGGCTCGGATACATGGACACGCAGTTCGGCGTGTACGTGTCCTGTTGGCTGGTGTCCGACGGCAGAACTGCAACAATTCGAAACGATTCTCTTTTTCCGGAGGACGACGTAAAATTTAAAACAGATCCGTAATTATTTATTTCGATCGAAAGGGGAATCTTCAGAGGAATCTCGAATAAGGTTTCCTCCTCGAACTCGTGGATTTCCTTCGGACGAAATCTTCTTTTTTTCCCCCCCCCCGCTTACCAGTTGGCAATGGTACCGGCTCCGTGGTCGGGTGATGAGAAAGGGCTTCACCTGGATACGAGAACGCCCCTCCAGGAATCGGTGAAAACGAGCCGCCGCTGCTTACCGGAGGAGCCGGATAAGACGGCGCCGCCGACGGATAAGTCCATTCCGCGCTGCCTGCCGTACCCGTGTCTGCAACAATTGTCGCGATTATATCGACACGAAGAGGAGGAAGAAGGAAAGGAGGAAAGAGCGAGCGGACAAATTGGTACACGTATCGCGTAACGGTGTTTCGAATGACTAACTCCGCCGGATTGATCGAAATGACTCACGGGTGAAGGCATGCCGGAAGTCGAAAACTTATCGCTGGAAACGATACGTTAATACTCTTTCTTGATTTATTTATTATATCAGGGATCTTTCCTCGCGTGTAAAAGCGAGGTAATTATGTATATTAATTATCATCTCGTGAAATATTTATCGCGGAGTTATTCGCGACTTCCGTCGTCCGATGAATATATGTATATATATATATATATATATTGAAGTATTATAGCGATAGCAGGTCGGAGTAAAAGTAATTGGAGAGGAAAATGTTGCACCGATGAGCGAGCGAGTGAGTCACTCGATGATTCGGCAAAATTTACGCGCTCGCCATTTATTCCCCGGGCGACGAGCAGCGGTCGAACACGAGTTACGGAGTTATGAAACGCGTATCCTCGTTTCTCCCGCGAATAAAGTTTCACGAAAAGAATCGGCGTCGACACATAATATTTCGCTCCTCTTTTTTTCCCATCCTTCCTCTCAATCGCTCGTTTCAGCTTTCATTCGACATCGGTAATCCTATAGTCTACTTCCTGTTGGCCTTCGAGTATTTCTTCAAACAATCCACACTTTTTCCCGCTCTATTCCCTCTGTCTTAGCTTCGTTCCAAGGCGAAAAAGAAGAAAGAAAAATTCAGAGAACGTCGAAAAGTCGAATCGAAGGAAGGAAGGAAGGAAGGAAGGAAGGAAGGAAGGAAGGAAGGAAAGGAAGGGGTCAAGGAAGCTGGTGTTGCCTTAGTCGTGTCACAGAGACGCATACGTGGCTTAGGACGAATACTAGGTGGAATATGACGGTGGAAAGGTCGAGAGCATTGGTAATTCGACAGTCGTCGGCTCGATGACGGAACAACGGCTCCGTTCAAGGGCGCGCTCTCGTCGTTCAACTGCTTCCAAGAACTGCTTCTTCTCTGGAGGAACTTTCGAAATATCGTCGATTATTCTTCATCGAAAATTTTTCCCGCTCGAGTTACGTGGAAACGATAATGATTAAACGAGTAGCGCTATTATTGGCGGTTAAAAATAAAAATGAAAGAGTTTATCCAATTCGTTCTCGTCACTTTCCAGCAATGGAAAGATTCTTATTCTTGGGAAATTATTTCACAAAATTATTCGCACAAGCCTTTCCATTTTCTCTCAGAGCGAGAAGAAATATTTCTCGATGAAACGAGAAATTTTTCGGACTCGAATTTTTTTCTCGCTCGTTCCCGAAGCGAGAAAATTTATAATCGCATCTCGGCAGCGAAGTAAATGGAAAGCGACGTTGGGAGGGAACGTTTCGGGTCAAGGCGGGGAAGCGTTAGAGAGAATTGATTAGAAAACCGTCGATTTTAATAGGCGATAAATCACGGGTTTCGCCATTGGCTCGGACTGGAAACTCGCTTCGTAATCCCGCGTTGGATTACGAGGGGCTGCCGCGCGCAAGAAACGGTCGGCGGTTTTGTAATTAACGGTTGCTAATTCCCTCGTAAACCTATGGACAAGCCTTTACGCTACGCGAGCCTTCCAAGTCAAATTATTTAACCTGGCGGGGGCCTCGAAGAAGTCAATCGCCAGGCCTGTTTAAAACTCCTTCCCGTACAGCGTTTTTACTCTCTACACTCGTCCTGACGCGTGTCGCCGTCTTTTATTATCGAGAGCTTCCCACGTTTACGACCTCCGTCGAACGATTAAACGAATTTCGCAATTGAACAAACTTCGCAACCGACCGAAAGATCTTTGAAAATATCTCGCGAAACTTTTCTATCTTTATCAGGGTTTTCCAAAAAGTCAAATGGAAAAGGAGATAAATTGGATCGAGGTCACGGGGTGGAGGGTCCTCCGGCGAACGATTAAACGAATTTCGCAATTGCACAAACTCCGCAACCGACCGAAAGATCTTTGAAAATATCTCGCGAAACTTTTCTATCTTTATGGATCAGGGTTTTCCAAAAAATCAAATGGAAAAGGAGATAAATTGGATCGAGGTCACGGGGTGGAGGGTCCTCCGGCAAAACTGTCGTTACGGCCTAGGAAGGAAGGAAGGAAGGAAGGAAGGAAGGAAGGAAGGAAGGAAGGTCGAGGTCGTTTCGGAATTCTCAAAGGGGACCGCCGTGGGGCGTGGGGGTGATTACCGAAAATGGCCGTGCATTTGCCGCAATTACCGGAACAACGGTAAGAAAACAAAGCGGAGCGGGTCGAGCGCACTGGGTCGACCATCTGTTGGATAATGGCTCGTTTCGAGGATCCGTTCAAGGAAGACGGCCGGTTCTATGAACCATAGCTAGACCAGGTTCAGAGAGAGGGAGAGAGAGAGAGAGAGAGAGAGAGCAGAGCGAAGGAGACATCGGGTGAAAATTCGATCGCTTACTCGTGGATTTTTTTCCCCACCTTGTCGGCTAATAAGATCGGATCGGAGATGAAATCGTCCTACTATCTCCACGCTTGGAAACATTTCGTGGAGTTTCATAGTTTCAACCGCAGACACCGGGAGGATTTGCGAGAGAGGGAGGGAGGGGGGGAAAGTGTATCAGACTTTCCCATCGTCGATACACCATTTATTATCGGCTCGATTCGACTCGGTGTCGTTGCGCCGCGGTCGGTCGCCCCGCGTCCGATTCAGGAGGAGGAGGAAGGAAGGCTGGAAGAAATCACCAAGGTGTAACATCGCGCCGTTCATCCCGACCGAAGGAAGGGACGCACGAGTCCTGACCAAAGGAACTCCGGACTTGTTTACTACTTCCTCCTCTCCGTATCTCTCTTCTTCCCTCCCTGGATCTCTGTCCGTTGCTCTGCGGGTGTGAAACCACAGTGAGGTGGTTTTGGTGCTTAGTCTCCCGACCAGCCATCTACTTAACGAACCGTCCATCGACCGCCGTCATTTCGTCGTTTCTCGCTTTCTCTCTCTCTCTCTCTCTCTCTCTATCTATCTCCCTTTGCCCCACACCCAGCTTCGAGCTACCGCTATCCGTTCGTTCCAACGTTCGACCTCGTCTTTTTCCTCCTCCTCCGACCGATCGAGAAACGTCGCGTCTATTCCGTGAACGCGGAACCGACGCGACATACTTCGACGTTCTTTCGGGCCGAGTCGCTTTGAGACTCGTCCTTCCAAAGTGTGGCGGGATACCTAGCATACCTTGTCCTTGACACGTTTCACCTTGCTTCGGGCACCTTGTTCCCAACTCGTCCGGACGCGCGCCAAGAATTTCGCGAGAGCGGCAAAAGTTGGAACGGAGGGAGTCCTTCGTCGGGGAAGAAGGAATCGTTCGAGAAGAATTTCGTTCGTCGATTGTCGCAGCCTTTGGTGTAAGAAGAGAGAGAGAGAGAGAGAAGGAAAAGTTAGGAGGAACGTCGAACAGACGAAGCCGTGGGGCTTCGTTTCCCACCAAGATAGATGCACACGTTTGGTCGTGTAACGTAAGTCGATATTGCGTCGTCTCGATATTCTTGCTCGACACGAATGTCGACACACGCTAACCGTACGTGTATGACACGTATCGAGAGGCACAACGCTCAGAGAGGAGAGAAAGAGAGAGAGAGAGAGAGAGAGAGAGAGAAGAGAAGTCTTACGCATACGAACGGCCAGGAAACTCTTGTTGCCTCGCGTATCGCTTACCATCACCGATTTCTTCTTATACACCGGGTATCCTGTCCCGGGGATAGTGTTTCCCTCGATGACTTCGGGATCCCGAGCTACCAGTCGGATCGCCGGTGTCCTTGCCGACTCGATAATCGAACAGGAAAACCATCTCCCCTCCTTTTCCTTTCTTTTCCTTTCCTTTCCTCCGTTTCTCCGGAAAACACGGCCGAACGATAATTCGATCTTCGATCCATCGTGTGACTCGAGATTCGTCTCCTCTCTTCCAGGAGGAACGTGTTGAACGCGTTGGAATTTTATCCTTTCGACGAAAGTTGGACGAAAGGAAAGAAAGAAGGAAAGAAAGAAAGAAGAAAGGAAAGAAAGAAGGAAAGAAAGAAGGAAGGAAAAAAAGAAGGAAAGAAGGAAAGAAAGAAAGAAAGAAGGAAAAAAAGGAGGAAAGAAGGAAAGAAAGAAAGAAAGAAGGAAGAAAAGAAGGAAAGAAAGAAGGAAAGAAGAAAAGAAAGAAGAAAAGAAAGAAAGAAAAAAGGAAAGAAAGAAGGAAGAAAAGAAAGAAGGAAAGAAAGAAAGAAGAAAGGAAAGAAGGAAAGAAAGAAAGAAAGAAGGAAGAAAAGAAGGAAAGAAAGAAGGAAGGAAAGAAAGAAAGAAGGAAAGAAGGAAAGAAGGAAAGAAGGAAAAAAAGAAGGAAAGAAGGAAAGAAAGAAAGAAAGAAGAAAGAAAAGAAGGAAAGAAAGAAGGAAAGAAAGAGAGAAAGAAGGAAAGAAAGAAGGAAGGAAAGAAAGAAGGAAAGAAAAAGGAAAAGAAAGAAGAAGAAAAAGGAATCGCACAATTCTCACAGAAACACGTGAGAAAATATAATAACATATCATAAAACCGTGGATCGATTGATAAGTACGAAACGAATCCTCCTCCTGCTTCTCCTCCTCCTCCGAATTCGAACGATTCACGGTTCGTCAATCTCCGAGAAGTAGGCGATCCGATCCCTTTCGACGACGGTTTCAATGCCCATCGCCGCTAATTTCGTTGAGCTGCGTTTCTCGTTCCTTCGTCATTTCCCATTCATCTCTCCCTCCCCCGACCCCCCACAATCCCCCTGAAAGGAGGAAATCTGTTTAACGCCCGGCCGCAGAAGAGAGCGCGTTTCGCACGCACGCACGCATCGCGGCAATTTCGAAACGAACAATGGAGATGCTCTTCTCCGAGCTTCGAGGTAGCCGGTGTCGACTGCTCCTTTCCCCCCTTTTGGGGAAGAAAAAGATCTCTGTTCTCGTTTCCTCTTCGTCCCTTCCCCCCTC